GTTTCCAAATCACTAATAACCTTATTTGTAACATTAACATTTAAGAATTTGAAGAGTGTAAATTTGCGCCATCCATTCCTATTTTAATCTCATTCGAAAATGTCAAATTATTCCATAACAGCTTCTGATTGTTCACATAATTGCGTCTTACAGTAATATCTCATCCGACAATAAAATAACTTTAAAACTGACTCACCCATATAACCAACTGTGCCAACACGTCCTTTTATGGGTTCATTATCTCTTAACTCAACTGCAAGTCCTAAGTCAGATATTCGGACATGCCCTGAAACATAACTGAATTATCAATCTCTCAATAAAAGCCCGAGCAACTTATGGAGTGCATATTAAAGGGCAATAGTAGCTCGAATCCAGTCGACTTATATCTAAATTTTGTTGCTTCTTTAATTTGATGGTGAGGAATTCCCCATCTCTACTCACTTAATTTCTAAATAAATAAATAAATATCCTCTTCCAAAGATAAAAAAGAAAACTAAAATAGCAACCATAATCATCAAGAAGAATATTTTCTGGTTTTAGGTCCCTGTAAATAATATGCTCCTTGTGTAAATGTTGCAAGGCCAAAGTAATTTCAGCAGCGTAAAACTGCACACGTTTTTCTTCAAATCCACCAGGTATTAAATTATATAAGTGAAACTTCAGATCACCTGAAAAGAATTATATCATAATTCATAATTATCACTTCTTTCCTATACTTTTCCCTATTTTTATCCATTGCTTCGAAGAACAATATGACAGATTTAATGTGATGTAGATAATAGCGAGCATAACACAAACCTCCGTTCATAAGCGTCAAAACTAAGCATAAATCGTCCTTTGTTTCATATGCATATGCAAGGCTAACCTGAAAGACAGCTCTTAAATTATATCCTGTATCACAGATTTATGCTTCTCAATAACTCATCATCATAGAACCATTATCCACTCCTTCAATGAAGTGCCAATGGTGTGGTTGCATACCCAATACAGTTTACCGGAGCATCACATTTTGCCAGTCGTCAATTCATCTTCACAATTAAACTTTCTTCTGCATAGGCAATTGATAATAAGATTTTCAGTATCATATATTTCACCTATTACCGTCGCTCAACTCATTGCTTCTCATTCAGACCACTTATTATT